CCGGGTTTCTCGCGATATCGGGGGCGGCTCCCGCTCCCTGTTTGAAGCTGGGCGCGCGGACGCTGTGGCCGTTGCTGGCGCGCGCGGGGAGCTGTGAGGGGTCGGTCACGGTCCCGCTCCTCAGCCATGGGAGCCAAGAAGAAGTTGTTGCAGGTCCGGGAAGCCTTTCAGCTTGCCCAGAAGCCTCACCAGAACCACGCGAAGCTCGTGGTGGGTCTGAAGAGCACTTATGCTCAGGTACGGCTGCCATCGGACGACCCGGCGCGCGGGGGAACTGAGGGCCACGGCGGCTGCTCCGCGGGTCCCCCGGGGAGCAGGGGTCGCCTCCGTAGTGTTCCCCTAAAACGAACACTGGTGTGCCTAAGGCGAGCCCGCCACTTAAACAAACAAAAAGAATCCCCAGCCCTCCACAAAGAAACCCACCCAATGCCGCAAAACCAGGCCGCTGAACTATTCCGCAGTTGTCTCCTGCGAACGCGGCGCTGAGGGCTGCCCGCAGGTGTTGGTGATGGCGCGGAAAGGTGTTTGGGTACCCGAGATGTGTGATGCAGCATGTAATGGACGGGGTGTTGATTATTGTCCTGAAATCTGTCAGCCGGATGGAACCTCGCGGTCGTAATGTGCCTGCTGTGAAGTTAGAACAAATACTAAGGAGGGCACGACAGCGGGTCTGCCCCGACTGCTGACTCTAGCCCTTTAAAAATTTAAATTCAATAGGAAGCTGTCAATTGTAAGCCCACTTTATTTTTCTGTGGTACAGTTTTGAAAGATGAACCGGATAGTTATCTTTCGTTGTGATTTGTTTTTGGGTTTTTTTTTCCCCAGTTGGATGATAAAGAAGGCTTTAATGAAAAATTCATTCACTTCCTCAAGTATGCTATGATAATCTACCGGCGGGAACCAGCAGTGGAACAAGTGATCAATTTTGCGTCTAGATTTGTTACTTCATTCTATCAGATGGAGAAAGAAGATGGTAGTGAGGAGGGAGAAGATAATTTACTTCTGAATTATGTGTTTAAATTTCTGCTTGAGGTACAGTTAACATTTATTCTTAAATGTCTAACATAAAAATGGAAACTTTTTTCAGTGAGGAAAACTTGCTGGTACTTGACAATACTTACAAATAAGAATTTAAAAAGTTAAAGCAGAGCAAAGCTGATGCTTGAGAAGTAGCACCATCCACATTCCCCCAACACAAAAAGATTCACCACATTCCACACAATAATCCAGCAACTGGATTTCAAAATTTTGGGCCTTTAAGAAAAAGTGAATGTTCTCCTATATGGCTGTCAGATATGTCACTGTAGGCTTTGCTATGGGTATATTTATAAGCATGAAATTGTGGAAGTGTGGTGGAAATTAATTTATACTCTTCCTTTGATAACAACATATTAAAAGATCTTCTATACAACTGTGGCAGGCATATGTATTATTCTTTTCTGTTTACTGCAAGTGTTACATAGAAAGATGAACAGTTCCAATAGCTCGAACACACAAATAGAATTATGTTTTCCTAAACTATTTATTTGCCATGGAAAGATTATGGATCAGACCTAAGATAACAAATCATAATTGTTCATGTCTTTTTTTTCTTCTAATGTTTCATGGAGGCAGAGCAATACGTTGTCTAATGCACTGCAGGCTGCATGCAGTGGTCAGCATGCTGCTTCCTTTGTAAAGGCACTGACGATTTTCTAGGGTCACTGATCCAGGCAGTGGGCTGTAATTGCTTTTCAGTTCTGTGGCTTTTTAATCTTAAAAATAAAATAAAATTGAAAAAACTTTTGAAACATAGAAGTGCATATTTCATTTATTCTGTAGAATATTAGCTACTTAGATGTGCAAATTAATAGCCTTATGTTGGAAATGAGAAAAGTGTGTTTATAAGAATACCTTTTATTCTTTCCTTAAGTCTCACGATGCGAACAGCCATGCAGTTAGGTTTCGAACCTGTCAGCTCGTGAATAAGATTTTGGGAAATATGCCAGAGAATGCGGAGATTGATGATGACTTATTTGATAAAATTAATCAAGCTATGCTGGTTAGACTTCAAGATAAATTTCCAAGTGTGAGAATTCAAGCTGTCTTGGCCCTGTCAAGACTTCAAGATCCTAAGGATGAAAACTGCCCTGTTGTTAATAGTAAGTAATATTGAGTAGTATGGGTCTTTCTCTTTTGTCTAAGAACACTTGTTAATTTACATTACTTTATAGCATTTTGAAGCTTGGACTTTTTTTTTTTTAGCATTGAGTAAATGGATGTTAGAGAGTGTTCTTGTAATAATTCGTAAACTGTGAAACTCTTTGCTAGAGGAGATGGAAGATACAAGTGTTATGTGTGTTCAAGGGCAAAAAGCAGAACTGTTAGGGGATATCTGATAGGCAATTATACTCAGGCTCAGGCTGCTCTGTGAGCTGAATATAGAAGTAGGCTTGTGAAAATGTGTCGTAAACTAGAATGGAGGTATAATGCATATTTGTTCAGTTCTTGTCCTCTAAGCACCCTTTGGTACTATTAATTGAATTAGTACAAAACTATTAGAAGAGTAGAGATGATAGAGGAAAAACTATTGTTCTCTTAAATTATGATCACTTTTCTAGAAGAGATCAGCATCGCTGCAATGCATGTATCTTGATGATGTTTGTGGGTTTCTTTCTATATTGTATGATACTTGACTAAGCTTCTACTTCCTTTACCTCAAGGCAGACGAAGTGTAGGTTTGTACAAGCACAGCTAGTATGTAAATTGTGCCCTGATTAATCTTTAGATATTGCCTTTTGTGAAGAATTACTTAGTTGGGGTTTTCTGTTGATAAGGTAGCTTCTTTGAAATTTTATTTTCTAAGTGTTGTTTGTAGGTTACTTATTTAGGAGATCATGAATTTCATAGTAAATCATTGTCTCACAGAACAAGATGAATTAATGTATACTCTTTAAACTTAGTAAACGAATTTTATAGTTACTTTGAATTTTGAATAAGGTTTAAGAATATAATAAAAAAATGTGAGGGATTTACTGTAAGAGTTTTGGTAGGCTTAATGGAGATTGCAATTTTCCATTTAAAGGAAAATTTGAGGATCTGCTTCAAAGATAATGAAGAGTTACAACTAGTTACAACTTTTTTTTTCTGCTAGTAAATGACAAAGTAGTTATTTATGGGTGGGATCTAGAGTAGCAATTTTTTGAGTTATTAACTAAAGATCTTAGATGGTGAGCATTATTTCTTTTGACATCATAGCATGGTAGTTACCATAAAATCTTGGGGTTGTGACTGTTTTCTAAATTATCAGCTCTGCAGGGGCAGGAGAGGAGTTTTGGTAACAGCTGCTGAAAGTTTTTTAAAGTATTTTCTGTTTATCTGTGTTTCAAACTTGTATGAAAGCATGATTATGGCTATTTTATTTTCAGTTTACTGCACATTGCTTGAAAATGATTCAAACTCAGATGTGAGACGTGCTGTGCTGTCATGTATCGCTCCGTCAGAAAGGACTTTGCCAATAATTGTAGGCCGCACTATGGATGTAAAGGAGGCTGTCAGAAAGCTGGCATATGAGGTAAATTGCATCGCTTACCATTAATTTCAAAGGCTGACTTAGAAAAAAGGCTTTAAATCTTTTATTATATTTCACTTAAGACTAAGAACAGTTAAATAATTTATTTTCATTTACCAAAATATTGAGGGGCAGTGATTTAATACAAGTTTTCTAGTTAAAACTGCTGAACTTGACTTTAGAACTTACTTGATAGAAATTACTTATTTTTTATCTATACATTTTGTGATGTTATTGAAGCAAATTTGCTTCCCTGTTATTACATAGTGGATGTCAGGACTACAGCAGTAGTGAAAAATTGCATGGTTTTGGTATTGCAATCTTGAGAAGTATCAACTGTTACTTATATTTACATGCAGAGGTAAGAAAGTATGCTAACATGTCTGTTTCTTTTTTCTTGAAACAAAATGTTCTAACAAAATTTTTTACGCACAGAACCATCTTCTGGTTTTTTTTATCTTAGCTTAGATTGTTTTTTTTAACTGAATCTCTGTGTTAGTAAGTTTTTAAAGGAAAGTACTAACTTCAGTAATTATTGCAGATATTTATAACTGTGGGCACTTTAAGGAGAGAGGATAGTTTTCATGTCCAGGTGTTGCATTCAAGCAGAGCTGATGAGCTTCTAAGCTTTGTGTTAAATTTATTGTTTACTTTTCATTTTCTTTCATGCATGAGGATATGCTTATTAATGTATCAGTGCAGTGGTGTTGGTATAGGTATTACAGATTTCTGTTGAGTTAGGATTTCTGTGGACAGGTAAAACTCAAAATGTAAAACCATAGGTAGGTAATGAGTTCATTTGTTATCATATGTGGATGTTTATTTTAATGTCTTCATTACTTTTAAGGTTTTGGCAGAAAAAGTTCACATGAGAGCTCTGACAATAGCACAGAGAGTTAAATTGTTGCAACAAGGACTTAATGACAGATCTGGTAAGACATCATAGGTTTCTTAACATCTTAATACTAATGTTTAAGAGAGAATACTTTCTAATGTGTTTGGATCATGTATGCAGAAGCTGTTATGGCAATAATGAGCTTGGAGAGAGTTATGAGGTACCAGGAAGTGTTTAGACACATGAAACCTGCTTGCTGCTTTGTTTTTCTAGACCCATATAGTGAACAAACCAGAAAAGAATGGCACTTTCAAAATACCTGAAAGCCAATGAGCTTTCATTACAGATATTTTTTGTAACTAATAAATGTATTAAAAATTTAAATGTGAACATTAATATCACTTTGAAGATATTTCCTATGTGCTTTCAGAGAGTAATCTTCTCAGCTGGTTATTTTTTTGTTTAGCTTGAATTTTCTTTCAATGGATCTTTGACCCTTATGCATTTAATCATGTGGCAGCTTTATTCTTTTTCATGTCTTTTGTACTTTATCACTCTATAGAAAGAGCCATTCAGAATGTACCCTTAATTGGTGTGTGGTGGTTGCCAAGAGATCAAAACAGCACCTGCATCTGAGCGAGACAATTTTGGTGTAGAACACTGTTTTGGGTTTTTGTTTACCCCAACAGCAGCATAAGTATGCGCATGAATTTCACAGTAGAAGCTACCAGATTTACTGAGTGATGATGTGTAATCCCCCTACTTTGGAAAGTCTTCACTAAGTTGAATTTTACTCTGAGAATTTCCCTTGCTGAGTGATGTGCTGCTTGGGAATTGTGAGAATTATGATCTATGTGGATATCATGTAGAAAACAAGACTAAAGTACTGCATTCATTGGGAACTAGAGCTCTTTAAGGTGTGTCATGCATACATCTGTTTTTATTGATCTACTATTGTTTTTGGCTAGCTGGGGGTCATATTCTGTTCTTGACAGGAAAGCAAGCGACAATCAACTGAGTCCTTTTTAATGTTCTATAGAACTACACTTAAAAAGACCACCTCCTTCTGTGTAAGAAGTTTTAGTAGCTTTGCCCACCCCCCACCCCCCCCCAATCCTGAATTGGTCTGTAGTAGCCTACAGAAGTTTGCCATGTTCTGTTTCTGAAGTCCAGCTGAAAAACTGAAAAAACTGAAAAACCCATCTTCTGAATTACTGTTTCTTATTGATACACTAGTTTGCTGATTTATCTAACTAGTTGCTGCTTGTCTGTTGGCTGCCACCACTCCCCCAGTAATGCTTGGTCATGAGAGATACTTCTTACGGTGAATGCATCTCTCTTAGTCTCTTTCCAAACTAGGGAGGAAACTACTTTCCCTAATTTTTCATGTCATCCTTCACTTGCCAGGAACAAGTATTTGTTATACTCCCTTGAAGAGAAAGTACAGCCTTTCTATGTGGCCTGTCTTTCATGACATTGATGTGTTCAACATAAAGAAATGCTCTCTTTTATGATTCAGGACAGATACTTTCTTAGTGTCTGTCTCTTCCTTAGTATTTTACATCCCAGGTGTTGAAGACTTTTTCTTGACATCTAGAATCAAAGGGAAAAACATCTACCAGTTTGACTGATATGTTCTTTGCCAGATAAAATGGGTTTGTATTCCAAACTGGCTATTCTATATTGCAAATGTTGCAAATCCTGTAACCCTGAATATATATATCTTTATTGAATTTGCTTCTCTGAGTAACTCCTGAGCTAGTGAGAAACCTGCTCATTCAAGGTATCTACATTAAAATTTTGGATGCTTTTCCATATTGGCTTCAGAACAAGGGCTTATAATTAGATAAGGTGTAGAATACATGATCCACATTCTGCTTAGTTCTACTTTTCAGGGTGAGTTCAGCTCCCATTCTACTGTATTCTACTAGTTTATACTTTTCAACTTCTTGGAGTGGTTTCTTATTCTATAAGAAAGGCTTTCTCAAGGCCTTTTTGCAATTCTTTTTGAACTCTTAACTATATTTAAGTGCTACATTTACTATCATGAATTACGTATAAGAGAAAGATGAATGTTGTCAGTATATGTGCACTTTGTTTCCCTTATACTGGATATAGTTTTCTGAAAGAGCCTAAGAGCATTATGGTTTTGCTTCCTAGTTACTGTGCTTTTACCTCCACCAGACTCCTAGCCTTTCAGCATCCCTGCTTAAGTCTGGGTGAATGCATTAATAAGGTATACATTCTGGATGTTCCCATAAATACTTTTTTCACTGATTAAATAGTACTCTATTGATCCAGGAATTGTTTCTTGTGGTAGTGGTGAGTAGGGAGTTAAGTATTGTATGTAAACTTCATAATCCATTCACATAATTGAAATAGCATGAGAATTCTGTGTGTCAATTCAATTCCTGCCTCCAAAAGTAGCTGATTACTCAAACAGAGCAAGTATATAACAGCGCTTACACAGAAGTTGGACCAGATGACCCACTCTGGTCCCTCCCAGTCTTACCTGTTCTGTGATTCTGATTTTTAATATTTCTTTGTTCTGCAGAAGTTTGTGGTTTGTTGGTTTTCTGGGTTGAGGTGCTGCCTTTAGATATAAAAGTTTTTTTGGATAGAGGCTTTTTTTTTTATAAATTCCCTGTGAGGGGAAAAACATTGCCTCAGAAAAAGGGTGTGCCCTAGGTAGTTCTTGCTCAGCTGGGTTTTTCTTTATTCAAGGTAATGTTAAGTTTAATTGTATAATAACTTTTTTTGCAAAAAGACTTCTATGGAAAAGTGTTTTGTGAAAGTATGTTTAAAAATTTGATATTTTTTAAACTTTGTTTTAAACTATTTGAATTCCTGTATTATTAGATGCTGTTAAGGAGGTAATGAAGAAGAAGCTGCTTCCAGCCTGGTTACAGTTCACTGAAGGGGATGTTTTAGAATTGCTTCATAGACTGGATGTAGAAAACTGCCCAGAAGTGGCCATCCCAGTATTAAATGCTATGTTTTCATTATCTCCACTTCATGACATTGTTCAGAACTGTAAAAACCTTGACAGCAGGTATGCAGAGTGTTCTTTATTTCCAAAAGATGAGCATTTTGTATGAGAATATAAAACTAAATTTCTTTTAACCTCTAACTGGCACATTTCCAGAGGCTATAAGAAAGTTATTTCACTACATTGATGCTTTTTAAAGGCAGACAGGCCCATATCTATAGCTTTGGAGTGCAGTGCATATAGCATCTACTGATTTCAAAACATCTGTCATGCTACTAACCAGAATGCAAGGCATTTCACATGATACTGTGCATTTCCTCCCATAATACAGAGTAAGATTTTGCTATTGCTTTTTAATCAGTGACAATTTGTCATTTAATTTCATCATCTGAGATTAGACTCCTACTATTGTTCAAAATCATTCCATTTTGATTGGTGTGACTTTGGTCCTGAGCAAAATGAAGCTTCCATTCTGAAAAACTGGGCTCTCTGAAAATTTTTTAAGTATCAGATCTGTTAGACTAATGACATTTTGAAAAGTAAGTCAAATTACTCAGTTTGTAATGAAGCTTACATTAATTTAATTTATGGAAAACACTGGGGTTGTTTTTGTATGAAGTTTCTGAGTACAGCTTGAATAATGGAGTATCAGAATGATAAATGGCTAGATTTTTGAAGTCTGATTTCTGTTTGTTAAATTTACATTAAAATAAAGACCTGTCAGATTAATGAGAAGCTGTTAAATGATCAGTTTTCATCTACATGTTGCCTTGGGTGTTTTTGACTGGGCTTTTTGTTTGTTTTGTATGTGGTAAAGCTAAAGCAAAATCAAAATTTTTGATAGTTTACAATTAAAATGGGTGGGATTCAAGGGAGTAAAAAGTACCACCATAGTGATACTGTCTTTTCTGTTTTGAGGTAGAATTAATGCACAACTTAATGTTCTGCTTCTGAAGCAAAGATGAATAGCCATGCTTGGCATGAAAAATACTATGAATCTAAAAAGGAGTGGGGATCTCATGATGGATGATCTGTCTATGTCAGATCATGAGCTTACAGAGTTGCTGAGAAGTTGTATGAGAAGTTGCATTATGCTTGCTATTTTGTGTTATGATTGCTACTCCATTTTTGTGTCAAGATCTTGAATTAAGAATGGAAGAAAATTCATAGAAGCTGAAAAATATTTTAATGCAGTTTTACATTTCTGTGGATTAATGGCGTTCAATTTCCAGACTTGTGCAGTAATAACAATGTTGCTCTAGGACTGAAGGGTTAGACAGAATGTTTCTGCAAACTGGTGAGAACAGCCTTGAGTTAAAATACTGAGAAGGGCAGTGTAGTGAATGGCTTGTGGAGCTCTGTGTCCTCAAGAGAGACAAAGTTATTTTTCTCAACCTGTAACTATTTCTGTGGGTAATACCTTTGACAGGGTTTTATTTGCATTTTAGGAAATAGTTATTTCTTATTTTCTAATACTTTTGTGTATTTATTGTTTTAGACTCTTATTTATATCTTCATATTTATTTTTGTTTAGAAAGCTGATTCCACTGGAGGATTTAACAGCTGAGAATGTGTTATATTGGAGATGTCTTTGTGAATATCTAAAATCAAAAGGTGAAGAAGGTGAAGTTATACTAGAACAAGTGTTGCCAGAACCAGCTATATATGCAGATTATCTACTGAGGTACATTGCATTTAAAAATGTCTTGCCATTAAAGTAGAATTTTTTTTTTTAATTAGAGAATATTTCTTTTATTCAAGTGTTCAGGTACCCTCCAAACCCAAAATTGTGCTTGAACAGTGATTTTAGCTTTTCAACCAACACTTCTTTCATTGTTGTAATTTGTGAAAATAAAGTAAAATTTTGCTTCTGTCCCTAAGAGAAGCATTTTTGAATTGAAACCTCCCTTCTCTTTTGTCTGCTCAGGCAGGAGTACTTCCTAAAAACTTATGTTTGAAGGCAGTGACAGAGCTGCAAAATGAGACAGTTACAGAATAGTTATTTAACTGGAGGTCATGGGAGGGCGGAAATTAATGTTTTGTTAAGGCAATGTATGTTAATTTTTTTTTTTTGTGGAGTGTTTGTTTTGGTGTTTTGGTTTTTTTTTTGGTTTTTTTTTTTCCTCTTTATGGAATTCTTTAGTCTTAACATAAATTTTGAACAGAATTTGCTTCAGAGCATAGATAATGCTGGGCAGTCTTAACTGAGGTGTTGTATCTGTAAAACACAGTGGATCTTCCTGAAATTATAATAAATCAGATCTGCTGAAAAATGCATTGTATTGATGGATGTTTCCAATTAAAAATATGCATATGCTTTTCTCACTGTACTGGATGTAGTATACTGGTAGTAATTACAGAAGTCATTACTACTTTTCGGTGTGGAATGTGTTTCATAAATGAAGCATCTGTGCTTCCTTAGTTTTGAAATGTGTATCTGGTCCAGTGGGTATAAATTTATTCATTCATTATTCATTTAACAGTCCATGAAACACTTCTTTTCTAAAAAATCTGTTCATCAAGAGAACATTTGTTCTCTTTCCATCCAATCTTACTCAAAGTGCCTTCAGTTACATTGCTCTTCAGGGTGAGGTTAAAATTAATCAGGTTTGCTAGTAATTGTTTATGGTCTCAACTGCTAAACTTTTCATTGTTGAGCTGTTGTTCCAGGTAATATTTACAGTTCTCAATCCTCTGGTGTACAGTTGTGCAGTGCACTGTGAGGGTGTTGGTTAGGAGGAGCAAGAGCATGCAAGTCATTGGTACTTCAGAAAAATGCAGAAATGTGAGCTGCATTTCAATATTCCCTGTTACCTGGTGCAGGCAATGCTATTATTGATTGGAAACAATTTTAATTTCAGATGTTCTTAAATACTAGTTGCATGCGAAGTTTTTTTTGCCCTTAATTTGAAGAAATTGTAAAAATTTGCTAAAAAGAATGAGCTGTTACTGAAAAGTATCTACAAAGCTGGGGTAGAAAGAAGCATATTTTTCACAGTTTATGTCAAAATTTGAGTTTTATTTTGTGATACTGAATTTTGTACTTGATGTTCCACTTCAGATTTTCTGAACATGCATAACTTTCACTGATAGATAAATTTTTGATAAAAAGAGCAATTGAGTCTAGAAAAATAAAGAAATGGAACAAACTGATACACTTTCCATGCTATATGGCTGAATGTACCTGATAACAGATTATTATTCTGTGATGTCATACCACTTAATCAGATTAAGAAGTCACTCTACACTTTCATGATTTTCTTGTACTTTGTCTTCTAGGCAATATAACAATTCTGAACTTGTAAAAAATACATTGTACCTAAATATGCAGAAATAGTAAGAAAAATGGTACCTCTATACATTTATTCCTAAGATGTTACCTTTATGCAGTTTTACAGAACTGAAATCACATGTAGCATTATTTAACATTTTACTTATTGTATTACATTCACAAAAGGGATTTTTTTAATTGAAGTGCATTATTTTGAAACTGTACATTATTTGATAGAAATAACTTCCTGAAAAATTAGCTATGAAAAGAACACAGTCATTGATTTTTTTAAGGTTTGTACCTAACGTAACCACTTGTTTATACAGGACAAGAAAGTGGTGGGATTTTTTATTGCAGGTGGGGCAGGAATGGATATTTGGATTTGTTTGGAGTATATTTGTTTATTTAGTTATTTATTACTGTCTGACAGCAAATCTGAATGTAGTTATATCTGTTCTGTTTGCATTCAGTTATCTTCAAAATATGCCAGTTCTTAGAGAAGAACAAAAAGAAGACTTTAATTGTTTTGAAAACCTGATGACAAAAGAATTTATAGGCCAGCAACTGATTCTAATCATAGGCTGCATGGATACCATGGAAGAGGGAGGAAGGTAAACTTAAATATCAAATTTGTGTTACTAAGCTTAAGACATTCATGACTGAGGACAGGCTTAGAAGCTCTGCTTGGAAAAGATCCTGTCAAATAGACAAAATACAGTTCTAACATTAGCTGGAATAGAATGCAGTCTCCTTAATGGAATTGGTCCCAAAATTGTGCCAAATATTGTCTGCTTAGTTTTATGGGAAAGTAAGTTCTAATGCAGATTTAACATTGTTAGGGGAAACAAATTCAGTTGTTTTCATAAAGTATTATTGAGATTATGAAGTTACAAAACTTCTTATTTGGAGCATAGTATGTAAAAAATAAAGGGAGAAAAATGGATTGCTTCACAATCCAAACTTGTAGCAAGTAGACTGTTTGTTTCTTGTGTTTTTAAGCTATAGTCTGCTAAGGCCTAAAAGGCTACAAATATCTTAGGTGCCAGGCTAAATTGGAATGTGTTAACTGAGTCATTCTTATAATTTGAACAGTCTTTTGGTGTGAAGTAAAAAGACCAAATGAATTTGGAAATTCATACCATCTCAGGCATTTTGTGAAAACTTGCAATTATGATAGTATAAAGACAGCAGTAATGTCAAACTCTCAGTGGAATATGTAAATATGTGCCAGAATGGCAGGATAGCTTAAGTTAAAATATTTTGGATTTTAGTTTTCAGTCATATAATTTCCATGAAAGCATTCTGCAGTATTGATACTGACTGTTTCTGTTGGTATGACTTTACTTTGGACAGTAGGGATATCTGATTTAAAAATTCAGCATTTCCTAATCAAGAGAAACCAGATAAAATTATTAAAAACAAACATTGCTAAATAAGAAGATACATTTGACAGTTAATGTAGCTGTGGAGAAAACTTTCTCTCATACTGTATTTTAAAGTCTTCACACTATCTCCAAGTTGGTATGATAGTAACTCTTCTGTTTTCCATTTTCTTGAAAAAGTAAACATTGTTGTTTTTTTTTTCTCTCTCTAATCCAGAAAGCATCTGCTAGTTATTTTACAAAAGATTCTCATTTTACCTTCAACTTCAGCGGCACTTACACCTCTGCTTGTTGAAAGATTGCTCAGTATTGTTAAAGATGAGGACAGAAGGATTCAAATTGTAAGTAATTGTAAAAGCTTGTTTTCTAATCTCTGTCTTCCTCATAAATCAAACAGTCTTTATGAAGCATTGTAAAAGAAATAGCAGTATTTAAATTTTGTCTCCCTTCCCCTTGAGTATTTCTTTTTGGGGGGGTGTTGTTATTGTTTTGGTTTCTAGCATGCATTCTAGCTGCATTTTGTGGTTTTCTAGAGACCTTTATGTTTCGAGATGTGACTGGTATTGTAAATGCAGTCCCCAAACTAGAAAAGTGTTACACTTCAGTAGCCTGTTCCAGAATACTTCATTGTATTAGATGCAGTGTTTTGACAAAAACATTGAAAGTGAGGATGATGTAGATTTCCAGGTTTCATATTTCTCTTCCCTCCTGTTAGCTCAGATAGGTACTTAAGGTCCTGTTCCTTGCTTACCCAGCTGAATGGGAGAAAATGGGATTGAAATGTGCTCATGGTCACATTATGTGTTGTCAAATTGAGGGCTATTTACAGGGAATGGGCTGCTAAGAGAAACTGCACAGATGTGCATTACTTCTTCAGAAGGATAATATTTTAAATTTGGAAAAGTTAAATGCTTAGTATATATCTGAACTGCAATTAATGACGCTAATATACTGTTTGTAACAATAGGTTGCAGAAATTATATCAGAAGTTCGTGAACCAATCGTTGCAGTTGACCAGCCTATTGATGCCGCTGAAATAAGAAAGCGGGAGCTTAAGGTGAGCAGATTTAAGTTAATACAAAAAATATTTTTTTAAGCTTAACCATCTAGAGTTTTATATTGTAGGTTAATATTGGCTAGTGTCCATAGTGTATCACTGCCTAATACCACAGATGTTATTATACTAATTTTCTTTTTACTTTGTATTTCAGCTGGCTGAAATAAAAGTGAAACTTTTTGAAGCAAAACAAGCTTTGGAAGAATGCATTACTCTTCAGGATTTTCATAGAGCATCAGTATTAAAAGAGAAAATAACTGAGTTGGAACACACAAAAAATGATCTGATGAAAGCAGCAGAGCAAACTGAAATTAAAGAAATGCGTGTGGAGAAGGTCTCTTCCCTTCCACTATTCCTAAATGCTGGTTATGTTTTAAAATTAATTCTTAGTTTTAAAAGAAACTGTAGCTTCGCCTTGTTTCAAATACATTTTCAAAATTGAAACCAAACTTTTATGGTATTAGCATTCTTCTGCAAGTATCTAAGCTGATAATATGCTCTAGCAAAAGATAAATTGTATAGAAGCTGATAGTATTCTCTAGAAAAAACAGATTGCAGTTGAACTGTTCTTTTGTCTTTGAATAATTAAAGAATTTTAAAAGGGTCTTGTTCTTACTCTTCTTACTCTAACTGAAAACATAGAAAGGAATTTATTTTTATCATAGCTTATAGCCTTGTACAACAAATGTGTAGTGGACAAGAAATGTTTATTTGGGTAGGGAAATATTATGATTAATGGCTCCATTCTTCTTATCATAGCCACTGTATATGTTGATAGTTTTTTTCTCTCTTCCCTGACCAACTTGAAGAATGATCCTGAAACACTGTTGAAGTGTCTGATCATGTGCTATGAGGTTCTGAAGATCATGTCACTTTCTAAAGGCATCAGTCCAACCATTAATGAAATAATTCAATTTCTGGTATGTAAGAATACAAATAACTTGACCTCCTTAGTAAATGCTAAAATATGGAATGATGCCATTGCATTGTCCGTACTCTATCTAGTCTGTTTTTTCTTTTGTGTGGATTTTTACAATTGTCTTCTTAAAACTATTTCAAGTACATCAAAATGGCATCTGTATTTGGTAAGTTGGAACTGAATATTGTTTTTCTGCAAGAATGTTAATGTCTTTTATGAAGAAGTCTGTAGGCTTGTTGTTGTGTGTTGGATTGTTCATTTCCCTGAGTGATCAGCTCCATTTAGTTTGAAAACAAGTATTTATTAAAAACAAACAAAACCAAAACACTCATGTGACTTTTGCTATTATTTTGTTGCCGATTTCAAACAACATATTCAATCTGCTTCGGTTTATACCTACATAAACAGAGTATTTGGTAGTTGCCATTTTTTAATCCTGTATCAAAATAAATTATTTTTAGTTTCAGAGTAAGCATGTTTTAGTAGTCAGAGTTTTATTTTCAATTTATGTATTTTTTTCTATTAAGTTGAATATTATTGTTTTTAGATACTTCCAGGTGTAACTAATGTCCACCCAGCTGTGAGAAATATGGCAGTTCTGTGTTTGGGTTGCTGTACCCTTCAGAACAAAGAATTTGCGCAACAACAGCTTCCATTGCTTTTACAGGTAAAATATCTGATGAGAAATGAAATGATGGTCTTTGTGACTTAGTAAATAAATCTAGTCTTGTATCTATAACAAGCTAACCTACATAGTAATGTTCTTTGAGAACCAGTAATTCCTGATTTTCTGAAGATCTGGAGAGTGTGGTTTCCTGTAGATTTTTTTGATGTCTAGTAAGATTCAGTTTATCTCAGTAGTAACATGTTTTTCCTTTGTAAGCTCACCTGTTGTCTTAAAATTTTCTAGTAATTCCTCATCTTTAAGGTCTCACTTTCTCTTCAAGTCTGGGTGAAATCTGTCATGTATTTGTTACTCAATACAGAAAAGAGAAACTGTAGGATTCTCTAAGCCTTCCTTGTGAAACCAAACAAAATGTGTCTGGTTTTCACATTTCTGTTGCATACTTACCTGTGATATTAGGTGTTTAATTTAAATTCAGAATAATTAATATGTTTATATTAAGGATCAAGGAAGAGTTGTAGACTAGAGCATAAAGCAATATTCAAACTAACAAACAATAGTATGGCCAAACATCTATGGATATGGAGCTTGTTGGATGCTATAATATCCACAGTTCCCATCCTTGTGGTGAATGTTCTGATACCAAGCTAATTATATCAAATATGACACTTGTTAACCCTGAATTTTGACCCTGGCTTTGAAGAAAGTGTTAGGTGACCATTGTGCTTTTCTAAGAGCGTGTCCAGGCAGACATTGGAGAAATGACAGCAGGAGCTGAGCTGATGTGCTTGGCTCAGACAAGATAGAAGAGTTGTCAGTCATAGTAGGAGAACTTCGGGTTCCTAAAACAGTAACATTTACTATTGTTTTTAATTTGCCTTTGAGTATGTCACATAAAAAAAAAAGTTTGTTTGGAGAGGATTTCAGTTACTTTAGTAACTTAAATTTTTGAGTTAACTAATCTTTCTGCAGGTACTAAATCCCACAATCTCTATGTTGGCTGCTATCAGAAGCAGAGTGTTGGGCTAAACAGATGGAGAATCTCTGGGCTAAGCCATGATGCTTGGTTTTACTCGCATGTAATTTAAACTACAATAAATATAGTAACCTATGTAACTTTGACTTTTATTACTCTCTTGGTCCCTGTTGTCTTTTTATATAATGTTGATTTTAATTAAGCTATACTATTATTTAGCTATATTTCTGTAATGCCTAACACTCTGGAGCTACCACAGGCAAACAGACTTTGTTTGTCCTGTGTCTGATTACGGGTGAAACAATAAAATTACATCTCGCACATGTATGCTCACTCCATGAGTGAAATCAATTTAATTTTATGTAGTGCAGATTGTGTAGATGACTTGATAAATTTTTTCCCAGATGGTATTATAAATTCAGGTTTAAATTTGTATCACACCTTCCTAAAGCTTGAAAATTGGTTCAAGTATTTTGAAAAGTTTCCCAAAATAATGAATTCTTTGAAAGGAAAAATCTTACTATGCTTAATTTAAATATTGGTGATCTAATGGAAGATGATATCTTTATTTTCTTTATTAAACCTAGGTTTTACAAATAGATAACATAAAGATAAAGCTCAGTGCTTTAAAGGCAGTCTTCGATCAACTAATGCTATTTGGAATTGAGCCTTTTAAAACCAGAAGAAGCAATGACTCTCAAAGTGAAAGTGGACACATTAGAACTGAAAATGGTGAGAATGAAAGTGAAACAATAGAGGAGGAGGAGGAGACTGCCACAGTTCACAGCCTTCTGAAGCTTCTTTCTGGTTTCTTAGACAGTGAGGTATGGAATTTTATAAAATTTGCCTTAGTTTTGTTTTAAAATTATTTTTGAGATAGCGTATCATCCCATTAGATTGCTTGGGGATATTATGTGATGTGAATTGAAATTAATGGTCTAATATATTAAAATATCTGCCTTAGAAAATGACTGCAAGTTTATCACTGGTACAGGTTAACGCTACTCTTGAGCTGCTTTGCATTCTGTGCAGGTGGAAATATGTGAATGTAGAGAAGATAGGATATAGGCTATTACAGTAAAGTATTAGTGAAAAACATTATGGTTGATGTATTGTGTATATGATGAGTTTTTCTTCAGTATTCAGAACTTAGGACAGAAGCTGCAGAAGGCATTGCCAAACTGATGTTCTCTGGGAGGCTGATCAGTGCTAAGCTCCTTTCTCGTCTTGTTTTGTTGTGGTATAATCCCGTGACTGAAGAGGATACTCGGCTCCGACACTGTCTGGGAGTTTTCTTCCCTTTATTTGCTTATGCGAATAGGTAATGCTCTTTCTAATTTGTTATATGACAATATACATTGATCTAGCAGCTTTAGGAACCTTTTTTTGGTCTTGCACCAGTAGAAATGGCACAAATGCAAATTAGATTTCGATATCTAATTCAGCCTCCTATGCCTATTGCTTTTGAAAGTACATAATCTCAATCTGAAGACTTTCTGTTAATTCCCTCTTACCCCTGTGGGTTTGCATGGTTTTTTTTTTTTTCCTTTCCTAAGCCTACAATTGAAACTGATCTCAAAGATATTGAACAAAATTAATTTAAAAAGATGTGCTTTACTTATTTATGCTGCTGAGCACAAAGGTAGGCTTTGAAGTGTTGCTAAAAAGTAGCTAGCAGGAATGCTTCAAAAGAAAATAATCAGTGCCCAGCAGTTATCAAAGCAGCAGGCTGCTGGTTTGTGGTTTGGGGTTTGTTTTGTTTTTGAACCAAGGAATACTCCAATTTAAATTCACAGCATATTCAGATCTCTTGTTTATTTTGGTGGAGGACAAAAGAGGTAGAGAGCTTATGCAAGGGAATAGCAGTTCTCATCTCCTTTTACCTGCTGCTTGCTGAAAGCTTACTTTTCAGTAGCTGCTAGTGGTTTTATCAAGTTAGAACAAACTAAGTATTTATCTGCATTTTTTATAGTTAAGCTTCAATTATGGTGTATTAGGTTACCTTATCTGTTTTTCAAACCAAATTGATTTCCATTTTTGTGTGTCCTATATGTTGCCACATTAAGAGGAGTAAAAGGGGAGTTGTCTTGAAGAGGCAGAAAACCCCAAAGCAATGTATTGCTGTTGTCAGAAAAAAACCAGAGAAAAATACCCAGTTTCTTATAGATTTTTTTCCCTATTTTAATTATGAAAGTAGCAGAAAAATTTATTTCATATGTTTCCAGTACCTCTGATAATGAGTAATGAATTTAAGCTTTTAACATTGATAATCTTTTACCTGTGAATGTCATCTTCTGATGCTGTGAATTTCATTATCTTTCTTTATGAGTTCTAGAGATTGCCCACCTGAGTAATCCTGTGTATTTCAAAGTCATTTGCAAATGAGACAATTTCTTGTGGCACTTCATAGATGATATTTTTCTTGAAAAAATACATGGTGTATGTGTTAAATAAAAATCAGAAAATCTGTGAAGAAAAAAATCCTGTGTCTTAATCTGGCTCATTGATTGAGAATCTCTGTTTAGTTATGAAATCTCATTTATTTTCTGTCTCAAAACATAATCTGCATCCTGGATCACAAATGGTCCATTTTAAGTTGAGTAATTTACTTTCTTCAGTGACAGATACTGTATTATTAGAAGAGAATTATTAAATGCCATGTGTAATTCAGAACTTGTCTGCAAATTTGCCATTTAGTAAAGGAGAATTTGAGTAATAAATGAGATTTGGCAGAGGCTCATACCTAAATTTGATACTGATCGCTCACTGAATTTTAAAACTCCATTTGTTTTCTGGGTGCTGCTCTGTTAATCTTTCCATCTGGTCACAGATATAATCAAGAGGCTTACTTTTTGAAATGAAATATTTGAACTCTGAGGAAAAAATGCTGATCCTGAATTTTAAATTATCTGTCATGTCAGAAGGGTGGTATGAGATGCTAGAATAGGTCCTGTAAGCAGTGAACAATTCCTATTCATGGAATGTCTTCTAGTGTATTAAACTGTCAGGCAGCATAAGAGGAAAAGCTGCCTTGTTGCCTGTGTGTTGTTAGAGGTGAGGTTTTTTTTCCATTTACAGGGAGTAATCTGAATGATATTTCAGTAATGCTTGAGCCAATATAAAGCCTTCAAGCTGCTGAAAGGGACAGTTCTTGCTTTGGTTCTTTTGTAGCCAACTGTAGTGCTCAAAAGGGTTTTTTTTTGTCAGCTGGTTTGGCTCCATAATCCAGCAGCAAATAATCTGCTTTTTTAAAAATTACTTGCATTCTTAGTTTTCTTATGTAGTTATTTGGGTTCAAATAGGAAGTTAATATAAATATCAGCAAGACTAAAGGCTTCACTTCAACTGTGCCTTGTACTTTTTGACATCTTGTTAAATTGTTTTGATAAGTCTTGTGGAGCCACAGTTTTAGACAACTTGTTGCAAAACCAAGTGAAACATGATTTTTAGGATTCCTTGGCAGGAGTTGTGATTTTTTTCTCAGGAGTTCGTAAGTAATTCTTCCAAAAATCCAGTTAACCATTGCATACTTTTTTTGCCAGGTTTCCTTGCTTTCTTACACAATGAGAAGGACTCCCAAAGAAAAGAGGGTAGCAGAAAGGAGGAATGAGCAGGAAACAAGATTAATTTGTGAAGTTAATTAGAGAAATGTATTTATGGAAATTTTTATTATGGAAATGTTTTCTCTTGCCCTTCAAGAAAGAGTCTGTACATATCCGTTGGGTTTTCAGTAGTAAGGATGAACGTTCAACTTCTTCAGAGGAAGGAAGTGTTACTTAAAACTTGCTTGAAATACCGTGTGCTAAAATTTCAAATGGTACTATGAATCAGTTTTGATACCTTGATTTTGCTGGCCGTTGCTACCAAGTTTGATTGCTCCCACTTTGCTTTCACGTGCCAGGTCAGTGAACTTTCTTCATGGACGGAAAACCTAATTTTGTCTTATGCTACTAATATTTGATTTCACTGAAACAGGTCTAACCAGGAGTGCTTTGAAGAAGCTTATCTTCCGACCTTGCAAACACTGTTAAATGCTCCTGCAACATCACCTTTGGCTGAAGTAGATACCAGTAATGTTTCTGAACTGTTAGTGGACCTTACCAGACCAAGTGGACTGAAATGTCAGTCCAAGAAGTCTCAGGACTATCAGGTACAATATGTTAAACTGTAGAAAAATAGTACTTGTGTCAGATTAAGAACTACCCCCCTTAGCTTACTGCTGCTTGTCTGGCCTCTGGGATTCCAAGAGAATTGGATTAAAATGAGTGCCTGTTCAGGTAGTGAAGTTTTTCAGCTTGACACTCTCCTTCCCCTTTTCCTCCCATTTTCTTCCCCCCTCACCCCATATTTTCCCTCCCTCTTACAATTAAAAAATGCTAGTAGGAACTTGCACATGGCTAATTGTTTATATTGTAGAAGATATTTATAAAAATCAGTTGATGAATGTACTGAAAATATGGCATTTTAGGAAAATGTTTCCTGTGTAAAATTAGCCAGCTGTTTAAATCAGATTGTTCTCACTGCTGTCTCTTGTAAATAGTTCCCAGCAAAATTACTGATATCTAATTTCTTTCCTTTGCAGGAGTTAACAGTGCATGATACTTTAGCCATGAAAATTTGCAATGAAATCCTGGTGGACCCAACTGCACCAGATGTCCGTATTTATGCAAAAGCTTTAAATTCACTAGAACTCAGTAGTTCTTCTACAGAGAATCTTCTGGTGTTGCTCAATGAAATTCGAGAGGTAGTACATCAATAGCATGGATCTTACTTTTTAAATCATTAGTAGTCTAATATTCTGATATGCTTTAAAATGAAGGGCCTTTGTTTTTTTACTATGACAATATGACTGGAATTTCTCTTCTAACCAGTCTTGAAAATTAATTTTTGAATCATTTAGAATAATCTAAGGTGATATCCCTGCATTAACCACAGAGAGTATAACCAGCTTGAAACAGTGTGCCTAACTTGATACACTGCAGTATAGTAAGTTCTTTTGATAACTGTGGTGTAGTTATTTTAAAGTTAAAATAAAATTCAGTATTAAGTCTTGCAGTTTTGCAGCTTTAGTTAATTATTAACAGCTGAAATTTTACACCTAAACTTATGATAAATGGGAAGATCATTAGGCAACATGAAAAGGATGGTTAATTTAAGATGAAGTGGGAAGCGATTGACTTCTGTTAATATGGAAAAAAATTGAAATTTGGAAGTGTGGCACATGAACACAATGGTATATAGAAATGTTGATAAGAATGCTGAATCCACTATGGGCATACCATCCACAGGCAGCTGTACTCCATGTCCAATTGCTTTTTATTTTTTCAGGTTTTCTTTAAAAAAATATGAAAAAAAATGGTATTTTAGTGGCTAGTATTGACAGAGAAAGTGTTTCTCTCAGCTTGACTGGTCACTTCTGTCACATGTATCCTTTGTGCAGTAATTTCAACTAATCCTATTAGTAGGCAAATTTCATAGATAAAAAAATAGTTGTAAATCTAAGTAGCATTTAACATTAAATGTCTATTCTTCAGAAAGTGGAAGATAAACCATGTCAAAAAGCTATTGAGAAGATCCAAATGAAATTGACCAAGGATCCTAATGTGGGCAGAAACCACTCCGGAAGAACTGAGGAAACAGGTCTCTCTGAAAAGACACAGGAAAGAGACATCACATTGTCTGAAAATACTGTTCACAATGAAGAAGGTAATTCAGGAGGGTGTAGTACAATAGCAGGTGTACAGTTCAATGAATTGTTTAGATATTATGAAAGTAAGAAGTAATAGGGAGACAACTTCAGCTCCCTCAGCTAGTCCCCATATCACACACACCCTTCCCCAGCTCCATTGCCCTTCTCCAGATTCACTCCATCACCTCAATGTCTTTCTTGCAGTGAGGGGACCAAAACTGACCATGGGATTTGAGGTGTGACCTCATCAATGCTAAATACAGGGGAATGGTCACTGCCCTGGTCCTGCTGGCCTCTGGTACAAGCCAGGACGCCACTGCTGGCTCATGTGCAGCTTACAGACATTGAGCTGGTCCCTTACAATTTCACTGCCCTCAAATGGAAAATCATTGTTCCCATGCTCATGGTCATCCAATTCAGGGGACTGGGCAGCCTGGGGTCCATCACTAATATTAAAAATCAAGCAAATAAAGCACTGAATGGATCTGTATTTTCTCTAGTCCTGTTAGTCAGACAACTGACCATCTTCAGCAAGTGTTCATCCATTGTTTTGTTTGGACCTTCTGCTTTTACTGTATTTTCAAAAGCCCTTCTTTACTAACTCACAAAACACAGACCAGGTTCAACTGTAATTGAACTTTGGCCTTTTGTGCCCTCTCCCTGCATGTATGAACCACAGCTCTGTCATCTTCCTGCAAAGCCTGACCTTGCTGTCAGAGATCTTGCGGTTCCTTTTTCCTCTTGAGCTACAGAAGGAGGTCCCCTGTTCAGACAAGATGATCTCTCCCACTTGCTCAGCTTCCAACACAGTTGAAGGGGCTAAACAGTTGTCAGTAATAGTTTATGTGTGATTGACCTCTACTGGGGTGGAGTTACAGCTGAGTGATACTTTAAACTTCCCGTTAGCCTTATTTGCTAGCTTGTGGTTTAAAGAAAAAGTGGGGTTCAATTTTGTGGCTTTTTAATGTAACAGACAAAATTTAAAATCCTGGTATTTAAGGTAATCAGTTTTACTTTATGACTTCTGCATGTGTTATTCTGTTCAACAGAAAATAATAAAGATGCTCTTAATACTCCAGTCAATGAATTTAAAGAAACTGCAAAAATAAGATCTACAAGAAACAAAACTGGCAAAGGTACAGTAGCTACAATATTAGTTGTTCTTTATAAAATAATTTCATACTAACTTTTTGTGAATGTATAGATGGGAAAGCCATTTATACTCTGTTGTAGTTTTTATAGTTATATTTGTTATGACATTAAAGTAGTTTCTTCTGTGGAAATTTTTGTGCCGTTAGACTGTCCCAATAACAGAGATTTCAAAGAAAAAAGGACTGACTACAGGTTTGCAGATAACTCAGCCACATCCATTGACAGTAATGTACAGGTGTTTTGGGAAAAGTAGAAAATTGTGGGGTTTTTGTAGTTGGATTTTTGTCACCACATTCTGTCAATGCTGACTGCATATTTCTGTGTTTTAATAAAATATCAAATGCTGAAGAAAGATAGGAACAAAACTAGGTTAAGAAAATAAATGGTATCAAGATATGAAAAAGGACTTTTGCTTATACTTAGGACAGCGGAAAGCGGCAGAAGTGAGGTCTGTGAGCAGAAGAAAAACTGGTGCAAGTGTAAAACGTGGTCTTGAAAGGTAAATCCTTGTCTTCCCACCATCAAAACCATGATGTCTGTGCTAGCAAGGAAGTTTAATTCAAATGTTTTTCTTTCCCAAACCTGTATGCTTTGATATGCTTTGTTCCTAAAACACTGATAAATATTTAAGGAAACTTTGAACTGGTAAAAAAAAATTTCTTTGAACTGGTACTTTTGAAACAGTGGCAGATTCTGCCAAGGAGCCTGTAATATTTTTTTAACATACTTTTTGTGTGTTGAGTCAACATACATTCTAACTGAAAAAAGTCAGATTTTTGATTTACATTATTGCTCTTCTAATTAATTTTTTTTACCTATTTTAATCTGTTCTGTGGAAGTATCAATTTTTAAAATTTAAATTCTTTTTTTCCCTTCACAATTTTGCTGCTTGTTGTCCAACATGTAGTTGACAAGAATCTAGAAATGACTGAGAAGTAAATATAGACAATGGATTTCATCCCTTATGATCTTGCAGGATAAGCATTAAGACATTATAATTGTAATTTTCAGCTGTGCTCAACTCTTTCTTAAGCAAGTAATCCATTTATTGTGGACTGTATTGTGACCAGGGTCAGTCTCTCCCCCTTGCCTGTTTGGTGTGCATGCTTTGATTCCACCTAATTTTGGGGAAATTTTGCTTATTTTGCAACTGCTTATCAGTTGGTTATCTTTACTCCTACTGCTATATCAACTGGAAAATATCAGTATATTCTCAAAAAAGACATGTTTATAATTGTTAAGAAGCATTTTTGCTCTTTAAGGCCACGTTTCAAATTTATTCCTATAAAAGCTCTTCAGTTTTCTTAGTCTTTTTTACCTCTTAAATAATCTATGTTGCAGTTGTGATCAGATTCCAGAACCAGTCCCAGTGTCAAGTTCAAGGCCTCAAAGACGAGCAAAAACTTTGGCACTGGAGAAAACCCGAATGAATCTTTCAAGACTGTTGGATGAGGAAACAGATGAGTAAAGACAAAAGGAGAAAGTGCCTTTGTCAACACTGGTAGATAACATCAGACTTGAAAATAAGATATTTTTTTTTCTTGCTAGTCATATTTACTCCTTTATATGAATCATTTATAATTCATATACGTAAATATATGAATATGTCTACATATAGACATATACATGTCTGTATTAGTTTTAAAATAGATGCTTGTATTTCCTGATATGAAGTTCCTCCTTCATGTAATAAAAATGGATTAAAATATTACCTAAACAAAAGTTGGATTTTTTTTTCTTTTACTTAATAGAGAAGAATGCATCTTACATGCAATTATAAATTGTTGTTGGTGCTAAGTATTCTGTAGTTAAAGCTGTTTTGATATTTAATAGTAGAGAGTGATAGCTTGTGATGGCAGCAATTTTGAATGTACCTACTTTTATGGCACCTGCTTTCTTCACTTTTATAGCAGTAAAATCTGGTCAGCAGATGCATGTATTTACTGTTCCTGTTAATGTAGAGTGGATCTTAATTGGAAATTCTGCTTCCTGCAGTTGTGTGTCCACTTTATTAAACAATGTCAAAATGATAAAACCGAGTAACTGATTTTACAAACCATACTGAAAGTCTACTGATGCTGACCTTGCTATATAGAATCAGTGATGTGCTTTTAGAAAAGCATAAAAGTATTTGTGATACAAAATAAGGTCTGGTAAGGAAATGAGTATTTAAGTACAGAAGGGGCAAGAACTGAAGTCCTCTAAGGTCAGTGTTATGTCTTTCTAAAGTAGTATCCAACTGTTATTTCTTTGTAGCTCTGAAGTTCAAAAGGTGTAGGAATGGTCAGGAGTTTCACAGGACAGCAGATGAAGCTGTGATCACACAGTCACTGGTGGCTGAGCAGGTTCACTCGAAAACACCGGGGCAGTCGTGTCCGTGTCACAGTGGGGTCATTTCAGAGCAGCTGGAACAAACTCACTCAATTCCTTGACGTGCACATCTCAACTATTGATGCCAAATGCAGCTTTCTAAGGAACTTGCATTTTAAATTGGTAAATATGCTATAAATGATTTTTGGTAAGTCTCAGAAGTGACTTGGGGGATACAAGTGAAATTTAGTATTTCTAAAGTGTAATGCCCAAACTATTATGCTGTTTCCAAGCTTGCAAGAAACAGGAAGAGGGATTGTGTTGCTTTTTATCCTTTGCAGTTTTTGTTGGAAACTTGTCAAACTGCAAAATGCCACAACACAATACTTTTGTTGAATTTTGAGGCAAAGCAGGAGCAATAAAAACATATAAAAGCCTCTAGGCATGTCTTCCTGAATAAGACTTCAGTTTTACCTTCTTGCTGTTCTGCTGTGCCTTGCTATATCTACAGGTTCTGTCTCTGGCATCTCTTGGGAATGCTGGACTGAAAAGATGAGGTTTCCTTAAAGTCACCTCCCAGTCTGTGGATGCTTCAGCTGTGGATGTGGCTTCACTGGTGTGTTTTAATAGAAAACATACTATCTCACTGGAGGCTCCTGGGGCTGGTGTGGGGCTGGAGTTCCTGCCCTTTGGGAGAGGCCAAGGAAGCTGGGCTTGTTGAGCTTGTGAATGTTGGGAGGATCCTCAGTTACCTGCAAGGAGTCCAGTAAAAAGATAAAATTGAGCTCTTTGTTGCATATGATGAGAGGATAAAAAAGCAATGGGTATAAATTGAAACTCAAACCAGAAGAGAAGATGAAAAAGGCAGTGGAACAGGTTAAAAACTTCTGGAACAAATTGCCTGTGCAGGTTCTGTCCTAGGAATTTTTAAGACACAGGACTAGGTGTGAACTACTCCCAGCTGGCTGCCTTTGAGCAGGGTGTACAACTATGGACCTTCCTGATGTCCTTTTATACTTTTGTGATCCTTTCAGGCAGAAACCTGAGCAGCAACTGGCACTGAATTTCCAGCCCCTCTGGGCACACTGCCTACCTCACTGTAAAGGGAAGCGGTTTCTGTGTAATACAAAATTAGATGTGTTCTTTTAAAATTACTTTACCTTTCCAGGAGGGGTGGCTGCATTGCCCCAATTGTAATTGCAGGGTGAGACAATCAGGTGTGTGCTGTCTCTCAAAGTTCACTATTATTGATAATGAAGGTTTCAGTGTATGCAGCTGACTTCCTGAGAAAGTCACATGGTAGCAAGAGTACATCCAAAGGTGACAAGGAGGCAAGCCTGGAATCATCATCCTTGCAGTGAAAAAATCTTTGCTTGGTATGCATTACTCCTTCTACCTAAAATAATTCTGGTTTTTACTTTAATTCTATGTGTTGAAAGTACCTAACTTCTCAGCTGCTTAATTAAGGAATAAAATTTTAATCCTTAAAATACTTTAATTTATTTAAAAACAGCCTCTTTGTTGCTCTGGACCAATTACTGTGTCCTTCCTCTTTTTGCTGGCTAAACACAACAGTGTCAAACATGAACTAGACCTAAACTTCACTGCCTATTAAGTAATGGTGAAATAGCAGTGGTCACTCATCAAATTTTGGTTTGACTAGTTTGACACTAATTTTTGTTTCTTAAAACAAATTTTGTGATTCCTGTTTGCTTGTGTATTCAGCCTCTTCAGCCTATGCACTAAAACAGCTTCTCTTGACAACCAGCCTTAGGCTGGTTCTCTCCAGGCTGAAGGACAGCAGCAGGGGCTAGTGAGCTTGGGTTATGCCTGAAAACTCTCAAGTCAGCAGCCAACTACAACTCAAAGGAATAATAATAATTAATAGTTGTTAACAAAAAGGCTTCTGCTTGGAGCTGAGGAAGACATGTTCAAACCAGTGAGGTTCTGGTATTTACTGTGTCTTTGAATTCAGAAAAGTCCATGTGGCATGTCCTCCCATGGGCACACAAACAATTCCAGCTGCATTTGCTCCAGTGCTTGTAAGACTCCTATGTTCTCCCGCCTGACTCCTTACTGATCCTTTTGCTTTGCTAGGGCTCCACAGAAGTCAACTTCAGTTCCTCTTCCCTGAGAAGTTTAATTCTCCTTTTGTCTTTTTTGACCCACAGAATCCACGGTGCCTGTAACAGTTAGGATACATAAAGACCTCCTAAACAGCTCAAAACATGATGTTTATTATTTTAATCACATTCTGCACTTTTAATCATGTCCAATGCTTCAGTGACTCAATACCTTCTTGGGATCTTGTGACACCAGAATTCATAACAATCTCTATTTCAGTTACTGGGCTGCACCTGCAAACCAACAAACCTCTGTAAAGAGGAAGTGCATCTTTATTTTTGTAAGGTGAATCCTTAAAACCTTTGTTTTATAAAATACATTGTCTTCCAAGGAAATTTCCTTCTGGAAAGTTCTTGTCAAGTAAAGGACAGACAACTCATCATGAATTAAGAAACCTCTACTCTAGCTACTGAATGTATGACTCCAGAAAAGAGAAGTATATTATATGGTTTTATTCTAACACTTTTGTTATAGCTCTATCAATAATAAAGTTTCGATGAATGAAGTACATGAACCTTGCTAAGATCATTTAAGCATGGAATGTCTACAATGTAGTCAGCTACAACCATTTACTACTTCTTTGAGTAGAGATAAAATTTTGATTTTACATTGAATTTCCAAAGTACATGGAAAAAAATGAAATAGGAAGAACATTTACATCCATTTTAATTGGTGGCAGGCATAAATTCATAAAAACAAAGGGGGAAGAAAGACCATTTAGCAGAAACCTCAAAAAGTGCAGATACAGATTTGTTGAATGACAATCTTTCACGAGATTCTCCAGCAGGCTTGGTCTTTCTTTTAGACATTAGGGTCATTAAACACTGTCACACAGAAGTCCTCAATGTAAGTGAAGATGAAAGCGTACTGCAGAAAAAAACTGGTGCTTCCATACAATTCAATCCGTTGGTGAAGGAGATCTCCTCAGATAATTTACCTTTGTACTGCTTTGCTTCGAGGTAGTCGGTCTCCACCTATTACAGATTGGTTTGAATTATTACCATAAATCTTTACATGGTGACCTATGCCACAAATTACATAATATATTAACTTTCGTGCACAAAAATAAAATCGGGAAACCATAGTTGAATTTAAAGAACATAGAAAAATCACAATACTATTAAAGGGGAACATCCGATTCTGATATAAATTTGTATATGCAAGAATTTCATGGTCAGATGTGAAACTTCATATTTAGAAAAGAAAAAGTACATCAAACTGAATAATGCTAATAGTATATAAAGCCAAATCACACAAGATCATTTCAAGATCAATGTAATAAATGCTTATTATTTAGCAGAAAAAAAATCAGGAACAATGTACAAAATAATAGTGCAAGAACAGCTGCAATCTATTTGTTCTCATCAGTTTTGAGATTTTGGTTAAAAACTTTACAGCTGGCGAGAGATGCTGCTGAAAAACTCAGATTCCACTCAGTGGGCTGATTAAGGCACATCTTTATGGACTTCAAATGTTCATTTTCTGTGTTCATGTCTATTGAATTCTGCGGCTCCGAGACTTTCACTTGTAGCGTGCTGTGAGAAAAAAAGTGGGGGTAGGAGAGGGAAAAAAATGAGAAAAAGTTTAGTACACTTTCCTCTTGCCCTGCAAACAAGCTGCTAAGAGGCAAGATGAGGTGGTGGCAGATCCTGTATTCTGTTGTGGATTTTTGTTGTTGTTTTAGTGCACTATTTTCCAGAAACACCAAGATTAGAACCCAACTGTGCTGTGGTGTGAAGCAGATTGGGCTTGTCTGTGTGGGGATGGCTGAGGCCCTGTCCATTGGCAGCACCCGTCCCAGGTCAGTCTCCTCTGGTCCTGTTCCTTAGCAGGAGGTGCAGTAACAGCTGGCCTTGCTTAAACCATCTCCAGCTGATTACCGTAAAGGCACAGAGCAGGAACTGGGCAAAAGTCTTATTTTTATTGCTGACAATATTAATTTAGTGCAGCCATGGAAGGACTCACATATAGAAAGTATTTTGTTTTAAATCTAGGGAAAAAAGTAATACAAGAAGGGAAAGAAACCCAGTCCTTTGTGGGGGACACTAAGCAGACTAAGACAGATGTGTGGATTGAATCATCAAACAGTTTGGGTTGGAAGACAGCTTTAAAGGTCATCTACTCCAACCCCCCTGCAATGAGCAGGGACATCTTCAACTAGATCAAGTTGCTCAGAGCCCCATCCATACCGATCCTTAATGTTTACAGGGATAGGAGGACATCCAGCATCTGTCTGGAAAAACCTCCTTCAGTGTTTCACCATCCTCATCATCAAAAAATCTGTCTTAATATATAAAGCACTTAGAAGTTCTTTAAGATATAAAACACTCAGAAGACAATGTCAATCCTCATTTCAAACCTCTTCATCCCTTTTATTTTACTGTCTACCTGCTGCAGTGATTTGTCCCCATGTGTGATACATTGTTTCTCACCATCCTTTTCAAAGTTTTTGAGAATTTCAAGAATGATACAAAGTTGAAAATATTTCTGAGGTACTAAAAATAATGTTCTAAGTACTATAATTAAGAATAGGAGGTAATCGCCATGATAAAACCTATCTGAACAGTTTCCTATCAAAGGGGTATTTAAGCAGCAAAAATGGCTTTTACTTGCTGCATTTGAGAAAAGCAGGTTCATCACAACTCAGGTGCACATTCTGGAGGATTGAATGTGCTGTAGTGTAGCGCTCACAGGGGCGCAAAGAGTAGCTGAGGATAGTCAGTGTAGGACTGACATTGGCTTGTGTTATTCAAATATCAGTGACTGACTTTGATTGAAACATTTCCTGTCACAGCAAAAGGGAAAGAGCTTAGACATCAGCTTTCACATTTTAATTTAAGCACCCCTCAATGCTGTTTACCTTTCTGACATGGCAGTAAAACAGAAATTTCTCATTTATTCATAGTTCCCAACCCTCCAAACTGGTGCACTGCTTCCATGCTCTGCATTTCCTTGTGTCATTATTCAGCCTCCATATTTTGTTTCGTTTTGGCTTTTACCCTTTTCCTCTGGTTGCCCTGATCTTTCCTTCCTGCAGGAACAGGGTGTAGGTGTAGATGATGGGCAGGACTTCAGTCAGCAAGGTTACTTTTTCTTTACAACCTCTTCAGACTTGGATCTTTGCCCTCAGAAAGTCAAAGGTTTTCCTTATGACTATGAGATTAAGTGCATATGGGAGAAGTTGTTAAAAGTGACTTCTGCAGTTCCTCACCCCTACTGATTTTGTGCTTTTCAGGCATGGCCAGGTAGCAAAATATGACTTGTAACAACTACCCAGCAGCTAAATGAATGATAGGGTAGGAATATTTATGTTTGGTTTTTTTTTGAGTTGTCATGGGTTTGGGTTTTGTGGCTTTTTTTTTTTTTTTTTTTACTTTGTTTGTTTTGTTTTTTGGCTTTTTTTTGTTTTGGTGGTGGTGGTTGCTATATGAAAGGAACATAAATGCCTTGGGAGCCAAGAAATTGCAAACTCTGAAATAGCATATACCTGCAAAGTGCTTTAAGACCTAGCATTTCTACTGTAGAAATGTAGCAGTAGACAAAGCAGTAGATAAACTGTGTTGAATGCTGGGCAAGTGCCAGACAGAAAAAGCCAAAGGTTTGGGCTCTTTGTACGACCTGGTACGTTCCTTCTGTAGATCAACTAGGAGTTGTACCCAGCTGGTAAGGGCCACTTTCCAAACTACGCTGTTGCTGCTAACAGTGTATCCTAGGATTTGGTGTGACCATCATTCCTTCCCATTTTCTTGGACTACAAATGGAAATGCTGAGTGCTGCTATAGTACCAAACAGCCCTTTCCAAGCACTCAGCTCTGTCAGGGATTGTCCTACTCGGCATCTTTTAGTTTTATACAGGTTTCTGTACAAGGTGCAGTAAGCTGGACTGAATTTGCAAAACTAGAGCTGGAGTATGTCTTGATAATACATGTTATGTGGCAATCTATTTACCTCTCAAGGGAAGAACTCTAGGAAACTCAAGATTTTGCTTTTTAAATGAATGCATAAAACAGGAATAGAAAAATGTTAAATTTTTCCCCCAGTTCCTTGGTATGGGTAACATCAACACAAAATTTTGAGTATTTTAGAAAATTTTACCTTGATAAAAATAAAGTGGAAAATAATATAGTTCAAGATCTCAATTAATGTGTTTTTTAACTGAGAAAAACCTAGTCTTTTATCTTGCTTTTCATTCATTTACCTGTAGTGATTTATTTTCCAACTTTTGATGTAATAAGGTAAAAAAATTGGTGTATTTAAATATTTCTAAATCAGAGAATGTAATTAAAGGCGCAAAATTAAACAGAAGCAGTTAGATTTCTCTAGTCAAATCCATCAACAGATTCTACTCTAAATTTTATTCCACTCTACTTGCACAAGCTCCACAGTGTGTTAAGCATTCCTAGCAAAAGAAGATGTTACACACAGCAACCCTCCTGTTAGGAATTCTGAGTACAGCCTGCTGGTCCCAGAAGCCATGGAGCCTATTTCAGGAGAGCCTGGAAGAATATCCACAGCCCCCTGGAGCTCTGCACTACCAACACTCACACCAGTAAGATGGAGTTCCTTTTAAATTTCCTAGACAACAGGCATATACTAACCTTAAATAATGCTCTCTAAAAAGGTTACAATTTCCAATTCTGATGCCATGTGTTTACCATTCCAGCAATTATCATCTGTTTTGTTTTTATTCACTTGGGACTGACTCAGTTAATCAGTTTCTGTGCACATGATTTGTGTAAGTCAGCTACAGGTGCTTCTGTGACATGGAACATAAACTCCAGCCACAGCATATCCAATAGCTCTGTTTCCACTAGGGAATTTGAAGACAGGACATCAGTGCTAAAATTCCAGTGAAAAAGATGAAAACCATCTTCATTTTTTTGCACAATTTGTATGACAAATTAGTGAGATTTCTTGAAAATTGAGTATTTTTTCTTCATCTTTAATTACACTACCCTCTCCTAGCCCTTTTCTCTAAACAGTCCTGAAGTGCAGGTAACATGTTTACTTGCTTAATTGAAAAAATTTTCTATTTCACCATTTATAATAATTGATCCATATAATTGTTGTCTCTTCTTAGAAAGTAAAGAACAAAAAAAGGGATATGGAAACATGTCTATACTTTTTGATCTGAAATGAGCAGTCTGAAAAAGTGCCTTGAGGAGCCACATTCAGCAGCCCCTCAGCAGGTGCTCTGCCATGGCTCTGTGCAAGGGGTCTGTTCAGTCTCAGAGAGGTTTGACTCTTCCCAGAGCCATGTGAAACACAAGGGTGGCAGGTGTGGCACTGAGGACATGGGCACACCACGCTGTGCATGGTGACAGGACACACTGCTGGGTCAGTGCAAGCTGGGAACGCCCTCACGTGCTCTGGGCTTGCTTTGGAAGCTGCTGCACACCAAACCAGTGGGTCTGAACAGCCAGTGAGGACTTCAGGATGGTTTTGTGTGTGTTGTAACTCCCAGCTCTCCTATCACCACTACTGAATCACCTCTGAATTTACCATCTTTCAACACTGCTGCAGAAAGAAGGGATTGTTGGTGTTTTTCTGTGTTATTCTGACTCATCTCAGCAGCCAGATCAGAGTAACATCAATGAACTGTCAGGTCCTCGCTGGTCTCCTTGACTAAGCAGAGAACCCTGTGTGTAGCTAAGTTTCCAGGCCTGCTGGGGCCTAAAGGGATCATCTCTCCCCAAAAAAAATTCCTCATATCATTAAATAAAAAGGAATCAATAGAAAGGTTTTAATTCAACCTTCTACAGAAGTAATGAGTGGCCTCCCCACGCTCCTAAGAGCTAAAGAAAACCTTGTTCTTTTCCACACTTCCTGTAAAAACTGCCTGAATACAATTATTTTTTTTTCTGAAAATTCACATTTATTTCTTTAGTTTTACCCAAATCATCATTATACTATTGGAAATACTGATTTTTAATAGCAAGATGGGAGAGCAACACCAGACAAGTTGAGGCTGCCAAGCACAAAAGGAAAAGAATATTCTTTGAACTGCTTATTTTCTCTGCAGTTTGGAGCCATGTTCTTCTGGAAAAAACAGGATATATGACACCT